TAAAATATAATAGTGATTTTAGAAAAGCAGAGATTAATGTCAGTATTTTCTTGTTTATGGATGACAACATTTCCATGGGAAGTGTGATAAACTACATGACTACTTTACTTAAAGCACCCTTTTGATGACAAATAGTCAAATTGGTGACAACAGTTGATTCTGCAACCACTTGTACTAGAGATGTGTAATTTTGTATTACATCAAAGCGTAAGCAGGAAGCCTGTCTGGTTTAGACTGGTTCTCACGCAATGATGTTCTGTTTCTATGTGTGAAATAATAACAGCACTCACACATAGCCATACAAAATTCTGTAAAGTAAATTTTACTTATTTTTTTTTAAAGTTTTCAACAGAAGAGGACAGTCTGGATCTCATATATCTGATTGCTCTTTCATCTACTATCAGGAACACCCATCTATGTAAGATGCCAACAGTGGAAATAGTTTCCTGTCATCTCATTGCATAAAGGTGATTCCAGTACATAAACATGTCTCACACCTCTCCATCTACATCAGTCAGTAAAGATTAAATGAAATGGTTAAAGATCAGACAAGTCTTGCTACAGCCACGATCAAAAGTTTAAGACCACTTGTGAAATGACAAAAAAAATATACTTTGCATATTTCAGTTTAAGCGTTGTTTTCAATAAATTACACGCTCAAAAAATGTTTTGTCTCACTCCCATTTCTTCTTGCTGCATGCTGAAGCTCCACCAGGAGCCTTATTAAGATCCAACCATGCAAAATATGATTTTTTGCCATTTTACAAGTGGTCTTAAACTTTTGATCGTGGCTGTATAATGTTTTTAACTATTTTATGTATGGTGATCTTTCACGTTTTGAAAGATGGCTAAAATTTAATGTATATAGTAGAACAGTAACACTGAGTAAAGGTTAACGTATATGAAATGTTATTCAGGATACAAAATGTGTCATAACACATATCACAATATGATGGCTATCACATCTGAGTTAGTTATGATACAATTCATAGTATAACAAATAGAAACATAGATAAACATAAATAACACCATTACTAATGATTTATAAAGCCTTTAAATTTCAATTCGCCTACATAAGTTTCCCTTGCTATGAGTAAGACATATATTAGTAATTATCCTAAGATCCATCCATAGTAATATTGAGAATTCAGATTGTGCAGATGGTTTCACATCATCCTGCCATTAATAGACACCAAAGGGAGGACAAGACTTTTTTGGTCCTTGGATATTTCAAATATAAGTAATAAAGCAGCTTTTTAAACACAGATTTCTATCTACTTATATTAGTCCAGTGTGGGCGTGACACAGATATAGATATTCTTTTGCTTTTTTCCAACTGGAACCCTGCCTTTTAGATTCTTCAGACATGTTTACAATCTTAAACGTGAAGTCTGATAAAGACTTCACGTTTTTCAGTTCCCAAGAACGTAACATACTTCACAGATAGCCGTTTTACTGCAACTGAGGTTTTTTCAGAGGATCTGGTAACTGATGTTTGCTGCATTGTGAAAACCTACAAATGGTTTTAAAATTCAACCAATTTTTGTTATTTGTATTTACTTCCTTGGATAGAGTGAGTGACATCAGTGTATTTGTACCGCTCTTTTTTATTTGTTCTGTGTGAGGCTGCCACCAGTAGGTGGTCAGCATAAAGACTGAAAACGGGACTAAAGAGCTTTATGATCTTACATACCTCCAACACTCGTCACCAGTGAAGAACACAGTATAGCCCTCATCTCTGAAGTGAAGAGCAGCATCTACAGATTTTATTCTGGAAGGGAAGCCCAAGGTTGAGATGCTTCTAGGGAATCCTTCCTCAAGCTTTAACTGCCTCAGCATCCAGTACTGATTACCTGAAACAAAAACACTATAATAACACATGTACACATGTATTTTAAATCTACTGCCAGACACTAAACCAATGCTTTTGTAGATGGTTTTTTTTTTTACCCCTTTTTGTGTCTTTACCTTTAAAAAACACAACAACATTTTCCCACGTATTCTCGTAAACGGCGTCCAAGTTGGCCGGTACAGTGTCTGGCCAAAGACTGCTAATCAAGGAGACACGCGTTTCCTCAAATTCAGGATGTTTGCGCCACATAAACCTGAAAAGCAGGAAGGCTATCTCAAATGAATATTCAGTTTTTCAGTTCAGTTTTCCTGTAATCCTCGGACCAAAGAGACACACTGAGAGAATTATGTCCAGGACTGCACAGATTTACATACCTGTCTTTGAAAAACAAAACTTCCTGTTGTAGTTCTGTTACTGCATCAAAGGACAAATACGGATCACATTTTGTAGGTGTTTTTGGAGGAGGCCTTTTTGAGGTCAGTGAAGTAAAATTGGGATTGACTCCTGTACACAGCAGAGAGGAATAGAAAAGGACACTTGATTACCCCTGAAAATAAAATATTGTAAATATCTTTTTTTAAAGGAAGAAAGAAAACAAAGAAAAAGGAAACAAGAATAAAAAGAAAATTACTTGAAATGTTTGTTTTACTGTTTCTGTCATATGTTTTACACCATGACGTCATTTTGCCATAATCATTTCAATCCGTTGTTCTTTAACCAAATTGTATTTAATCTTATAAGAAAACAAAATAAAACAATTGTTGTAATTGTCTAATAATGTCTAAAACTAATAACAATAATAATAATAATGAGGATTAAAAAATACTTAAACTATTGAAAAGAAACAGAATAATCTGAAATATAACATATGAACGGATATTAAATAACTGATGGTGGCCAGTTTATAATGGTTTTGAGCAAATCAATATCACTGCAAGTTTTTGTTACACATAACAAAATTAAGCTTACGTGTGATTTCACTAAGGAAGATCTGTAATCACTGATCTGGCTGCTTTACTGGGTGATGAGCTTCTTTTCTGTTGTTTACATGTCTACAGCTTTCCCACACTGTCAATCTCAATATTCATGTTTTTAATCTAATCCAATCATCTTCTTGCCTGCCTCCTTCGAGCCAATCAACCTCTGCTTTTAGACCCTCTTTCTTACAACCCACCTCCTCCCCATCTCCATCACAGACACATTACTCAGACCTCCATTCAAGCCGGGGGGGTCCTGTCCTAACATCTAGTCTAATCGCCAAATATATTCATTTCTCTATTTCAATAAATTATGTTCAATTCTTCTAAATGACCTCTTGTTATTGAATTATTGCTGGATTGGATGTTTAATGCAAAACCAGCCAAAATTCTTGTGGCTGTTCTTTTGTCAGTATTATTATTATTTTATGTACAAACTTTCCATTTTAAAACTTCAAAGTTATTCTGAGGCTAGCGGGCTTTGCTTAATATCTTGTAATGAAACTGCGGCTAATGGTAAGCAACATTTCTGAGCTCAAGCATCGAAAGTATCCAGCAGCAACTCACCATACAGTTTTTGGATGTTTTTGACATCATCAAAGGAGAGCTGGGGCTCATAGTTGGGGTCAAAGTTATATGCTGGGTACATGATAGCTCCAGGATCAGATGAGTGGGACAAGCCAAGCGCATGGCCAAATTCATGGATTGCCACAGCAAACAGGTTGATACCTGGAGCAGGAGCGCACATCATGTTAGTACTCGTGTGATGCAGGAAGGCTGTAACACAAAAGTCCCACCCATGTTTCACTAAATCACTCCAGGTTAGGTCAAATTAATGTTCTCATTCAGTCCACCAAATATGTAACTTCTGTAAAGTGCACTGTATTTCAGTCATACAGCATCTTGACAATAAGCAAACAATTGTGACACACAAAACACACCTGCTGCTGCTTTCTTACAAAAAGTTCATAAGAATGCAGGTACCACGTTGATTCTGTCTAGCTTCATGTTCAGAGAAAAATTTGTGACACATGTTTTTAAATTGTTGCTTTTTGGGGGGGTTTGCCCTGGTAATACCGGTAGAATTAAAACTCCAGTCTTCATCAGAATCAAAGTGGACATCTCCACCAATGTGAAGCCCAGGCATAAAGGCGTGAGCCAGGACTCCTCCTCTGCCATCAAAAGGTGAACTATCATTATGATCTGCAACAACACAGGGTGCTATTATTGTATTATTTAGTAAATCCTTTACGCCTCACTTTACCATCTGCTTCATTATTATACATGGATGAGGAGAACAGTCTTTAAAGCTTACCTCCACTATAGAAAAAGATGTCAATGTCAGCCACGGTCATGATCCGGTTGCGAAATTTCAGAGGTGTGACGTTGGACCAAAGCTTCCATGCTCTTCTAAAGACTTTCTGAGCCTTCAGTGCTGGGATGGGGAGTTTCTTGCTAACTGTTCTAATGATAAAAATCACCATTAAATGGATTCACCTTTACTGATGTGACACATTGAATTTGAATGCTTTTTATGTTATTTTGAGAGACTGACACTCTTAAAATTCTGAACAGTCATTCATGGTATTCATTCAGCCCTACTTCAATCTGCTGTCTCCTGCCATAACATAGCTGAAACCTGGTAGATCATTTATTACCCTGCTCTATTTTTTAACCAGTACTGAGTACAAACCAGTACTGAGTACAAACCAGTACTGAGATTTATAACCAAAACAGCATCAGACTCATGTTTGAGGCTAACATTCTGATCAGCCTCAGCTGTACTTTGTTAACAGCTAAGCTAGTTAACGCTGTGAACGCTAATCTTGTGAAGTAGCATTTACCATATTGACTACAGAAATCAGTTTTATTGTTTCTAACCTGTAGCTGATCCTCTTCTTCTTCCAGCGAACTGTTTCTCCAACTTGCTCCACATCTGACAGTCCACAGCGTGGCTTCTTCATCACTGCTAGAGTCTCTTCTGTGAGCTCTCCACTTGGAAGCAAACCAAAATACCGTTGCATCTCCTGCACCTTTGTCTTCTTATCACAGGATCCGGTTGTCGAATCATCATCTTTACTTATGTCGGTGGTCCTCTTCTGTCTTTCTGCCTTGGGCTGGTAGTCATAGAAATGCCGCAGATATTCCTGAAGAAAAATAACCGGTATTGCTAAAGTAAATCAGTTGAAATAAACATCTTTACTTTGCTGTGAAAAAGTGTTTCCCCCCTTCATCATTACCTTTTTTGCATTTTTGACACATCACGCCTTAGCTGCTGCTAGCCAGTGTTAGCAAAACTTTCTATGAAGTGGATCTGACACTGCTGCGCTCTGAAACTTTGCAAATTTACTCTCATATGATGTGAGAATGTGGCGTCATTTGGTGAAGCAGACCCTTCTCAATTGATAAACCATACACTAGGTATGATCCTTCATATGTTGAAGTTCTGTTCTCCTCCACCTTTGGGGTATTACTGTATGTGGAGTATGTGGCTAGTCTCTAACCAGATATATAGGATGTGATTAGGAAGAATGACGATGTCAATCATTGCCACTGTATTCAAGATGGTGAGGCAACATGGTGGCTTCCACAAACTGGTGCCCACTCCTGGAGGAGTTAATTCAGAATGTATTGCTGGTAGTTACACACTAGTCAATGAATATTTATGAGTATAACAACCTGTATTGTATTTTTAACAACTGCGTTTATCATTAAAAAACTACATTTTGTATTCAGTTGTTTTTTGTCTAACATCAAAATTCATTTGATGATCTGAAACATGTAAATATGACAAATACACAAAAAATAAGGAATGATGGCTGGGAAAATGCTTTTTTTCCATAGCACTGTATAAAGTACAAAAGTTCACACATTGCCATTGTTGCTGTGGAGGAACACAAATGCGCAACCAGGCCTGAAGTAACTTTACAGTAAGAATTCCAGAAATGTCCTCAGACCTTTAATGATAGCACCGTGCAGAAACACTTCAGCACTCATGTAACTGCAGGTGTCAACATCAGACACACTCAGACTTACCTGTGTACAAGTAGCTGTGTTTCATACTCTCCCTCAGTAGAATCATTGTTATTAATATTATTAAAACTCCATAGAAGGACACCAGGAGCACACATCAAATTTATCTTTAAAATTGGTAGTAAGTACAGTGGGGCAAAAAAGTATTTAGTCAGCCACCGATTGTGCAAGTTCCCCCACCTAAAATGATGACAGAGGTCAGTAATTTGCACCAGAGGTACACTTCAACTGTGAGAGACAGAATGTGAAAAAAAATCCATGAATCCACATGGTAGGATTTGTAAAGAATTTATTCGGTAAATCAGGGTGGAAAATAAGTATTTGGTCAATAACAAAAATACAACTCAATACTTTGTAACATAACCTTTGTTGGCAATAACAGAGGTCAAACGTTTACTATAGGTCTTTACCAGGTTTGCACACACAGTAGCTGGTATTTTGGCCCATTCCTCCATGCAGATCTTCTCGAGAGCAGTGATGTTTTGGGGCTGTCGCCGAGCAACACGGACTTTCAACTCCCGCCACAGATTTTCTATGGGGTTGAGGTCTGGAGACTGGCTAGGCCACTCCAGGACTTTCAAATGCTTCTTACGGAGCCACTCCTTTGTTGCCCGGGCGGTGTGTTTTGGATCATTGTCATGTTGGAAGACCCAGCCTCGTTTCATCTTCAAAGTTCTCACTGATGGAAGGAGGTTTTGGCTCAAAATCTCACGATACATGGCCCCATTCATTCTGTCCTTAACACGGATCAGTCGTCCTGTCCCCTTGGCAGAAAAACAGCCCCATAGCATGATGTTTCCACCCCCATGCTTCACAGTAGGTATGGTGTTCTTGGGATGCAACTCAGTATTCTTCTTCCTCCAAACACGACGAGTTGAGTTTATACCAAAAAGTTCTACTTTGGTTTCATCTGACCACATGACATTCTCCCAATCCTCTGCTGTATCATCCATGTGCTCTCTGGCAAACTTCAGACGGGCCTGGACATGCACTGGCTTCAGCAGCGGAACACGTCTGGCACTGCGGGATTTGATTCCCTGCCGTTGTAGTGTGTTACTGATGGTGACCTTTGTTACTTTGGTCCCAGCTCTCTGCAGGTCATTCACCAGGTCCCCCCGTGTGGTTCTGGGATCTTTGCTCACCGTTCTCATGATCATTTTGACCCCACGGGATGAGATCTTGCGTGGAGCCCCAGATCGAGGGAGATTATCAGTGGTCTTGTATGTCTTCCATTTTCTGATGATTGCTCCCACAGTTGATTTTTTCACACCAAGCTGCTTGCCTATTGTAGATTCACTCTTCCCAGTCTGGTGCAGGTCTACAATACTTTTCCTGGTGTCCTTCGAAAGCTCTTTGGTCTTGGCCATGGCGGAGTTTGGAGTCTGACTGTTTGAGGCTGTGGACAGGTGTCTTTTATACAGATGATGAGTTCAAACAGGTGCCATTCATACAGGTAACGAGTGGGGGACAGAAAAGCTTCTTACAGAAGACGTTACAGGTCTGTGAGAGCCAGAGATTTTCCTTGTTTGAGGTGACCAAATACTTATTTTCCACCCTAATTTACGAATAAATTCTTTACAAATCCTACCATGTGGATTCATGGATTTTTTTTCACATTCTGTCTCTCACAGTTGAAGTGTACCTCTGGTGCAAATTACTGACCTCTGTCATCATTTTAAGTGGGGGAACTTGCACAATCGGTGGCTGACTAAATACTTTTTTGCCCCACTGTAAATGGTTCATAAAGGATTTGATAAAGACGTCTTTTAAAGTTTGTTTGAAAAAAAGCGTAAAACTTTCAAATGCACTTCATCAAATAGTAAAAACTCTGTTATTGAAATCAGCTTCAGCATGAACATGACAAGAGTTCTAACAGTGTTATTTATTCACTGCTGCTGTCTCCTGACTGCTGTGTTATCTTGCAGTCAATGTTTTCTTCAGAAGTGGTTCACAGGCATTCACAGGGCACCCTCATAAAGAATCATTATCAGTGCACCACATTTTTCCTCAGGCGAGGCATCAAAGGTGAAGAAGACAAACCAAAAATGAATTAGTTATCCAATCAAGTCACTATATCAAAGAGATTTCTAACAACTTATTATTTAAAAGAGAGAGAGAAGAGTTGGCTGGTTTAAGTCATTAAAATAATTAACTGTGTGCAATAATCTAAAAGTATAATCTAATTATATTTATGAAGCCGACTCTATTCAGTTTATTAAAAAAAACTTAAATTCAAGTCCAGGCAGGACCATTTATCAATATTAACTCTTATTTTACAGTGTCTGTAATTCCAACCTAAAACGACAGTTTCTTAACAAAAAAAATATATTAAAAAAAATATAGTAGAGCACAGATGTACAGTATAGTATTACTTGAAAAAAGTGTTGATAGTGTAATCTGCACAAATTGTCAGTCAGGTATAACTGCATGTCCTGCCCATACAAACTGAAATTAGGTTATTGACTTTCTTCACAAAATGTCAGTTTGATAATGTTTTACTCCTTGAAATACACAGTGACCAGGCCCCACATACAGCAAATTCCTACAAGCAGCAGTCAATATTGCACTTGAAGTAGACAATAAAGTGGGGTTCCAGATTAAACCCCTCTATGAATAAAACAACAATATCGCAGTGCAAAGACCTACAAATATAGCAGCATGCCTTCTTTTCTCTTTTTGTCTTTTTTCTTTTTTGTTACAGGGATCGTATCCTTCCAAAAATGCACAATACCTCTGCAAACTCTTGGTCAGCTGCAGATGGTCCAGGAGGAGGTTTCTTTGGCAGATCTGCTATCCGGAGAGGCAAAGCCATCATTAGAGTTTGGCTGGACATCACAAGAGGCAGGAAATAAAACCAGAGCATCTTCTTTAACTGTCAAGTATCCCAGCAAGTCAGTATGTGTTTGAGATGCACAGCTGCTGATATACAGTGCTGTATGCAAAGCTGTGGCATGGGTCACATGTTAATTATGTGCTCTTGTCCCAACAAGAACAGGAAGGTGTTTCAGTACACAGCATGGTATTCCAGAAAGCTTCTTCAAAGAAACACCAGAGCCCTTATTTATAAAGCTTCTGAGGAAAGTGTAGGAAAACAGTCCTAACTGGCCCAAAATTCTTATGTATTCATTCTGCTTTTTTATCAACATTCCTGCCATATAGCTACTCCTATCACATCCTGCAAAATTAAAATCACAACGGATGCTACAAAGATTAAATTCAAAATTCTTTAGAATGACTCCATTAAACATAATCTTGCTATGGTATCTGAATAACACTGCCCGTGCTACGAAGAAGAACTCCTTTCAGTTCCTGAGTTGGATAAAGTTCCAGGTAAAGCTGTTCAAATTTGAGACACTACTACTCTCATATCATATCTCATATCTGTGTAATTTGCGTATATACTGTATATTCTGTGTATTTATTATCTCACTCTTATTGCCTGTTTATGCCCTGTCCTTATCTTCAACGCCATGCTGCTCTGTTGTATGTTAACTGCCCCTTGGGGATAAATAAAGTCTTTCTGATTCTGATATCACCACACTGAATAGGTTTTACTTGACTTGCCAGAGAACCAAAGCATCATGATTGGACAATGCAAATTATTATCCAGTTTTTCTTGTCCATAAAACCTTACACATATTATAATATCATTTGTGTGTTTTCTATTTGTTTACTTAATCCATTATCCATGAATTTGCATATTTGAAGCGCTTTGGAACATCCATTTAATCATCGCGGTTAACCGAGAGTCAACAACTACGACAGCTAGCCCAGAGGCATGCATTAATGATAGTACTTACCTTTACTGAAATGTCTGCCAGTTAAAAAACAGCTATGCTGTTATCCTGCATTGCTTTTATTTTTGTGCGCATGTCTCCTTTAGATAAAGAAAATGATACTGATGTCACAAATAAGACAATAAACCAGCTGAAGTGGAAAAAAAATGATGTGAATGTAAGGACATGTATAGATTATGTGTCATATTAAAAATTTTGGCTAATGTTGTTGGAACATTTTAAAAGGATTAACAATTCCAAAATAAAGTCAAATTTAAATGCACATGTCACTGTCAACCGGCGCCAACTGTGCGAGAGCGTGAAACAGAGGTGTGGACACAGAAGGAGGCGGAGCAGACTTAGACCAAAAGCAAACTGTTTTATTTAGGCCGGTAAACATGAAAAAAGGTGAACACAGGAACGACAGCTAACCTGTAACTAGTACTGGGAAACATAAATAAGATAACTGTGACTAAACATCATAACTGTGATAACAATGACTCGACGTGGTAACACAGACGTTGTGACAAAGACAGAATAGAACACAGACTAAATATACACAAGGGGCGATCAGGGGAAGTGGAAACACAAGAGGAAACAGCTGACACAAATGAACATAATGACACCACAGGGGAAGTGTAAAAGTAAGCACATTCAAGAAGGGAACGCTAGACTTTCAAAATAAAACAAGAAACACAGAGACGTAGGCATGGGAGCACAAACGAGACAACATTAAACACAAAGGCACGAAATACATGACAGACCACCCAGAGAAGACCAGAACAGACTTACAGAAGAGGACATAGATGGACCTAAACTAGAATAGACTCATCTAAAACCTAACTAATAATGCAACACCAGAACTACACATATATTTATAAGAAAACACAATTTACAAAACGCACTCAAAATGCTGGGTCAGACCCAGCCCCTGACAGCACAAATGTTTCAACAGTGACTCAATATTTGGTTGATTTTGATTGCTGTTATCTGCTGATGTTATTGTGTTGCCACAAGATAACGCTGGCTATGTGGATACGTTTAGAGTAATTGCTTTCTTGAGAAATTAGTGTAGTGTAGTCTGAAATGGGCGCCAAGTGTAACTTGACCTGGAGAGCGTTGCACAAGAATTCCAATGTGCATGGACTGTTGGTCCTAGGCGCCAATGGCAAATAAAAATCTTGAATCTTGAACTGGCAGAGATTCACAGGAGAGAAGGGATGAAAAATGTTTTGCTTCAGGTAAGCATTCAAAGGGCAAGACAGAGCAGAAATAAATTAGTCGTCTAATTCAGTTATTATACTTACTAGTTCATTTCTCAAATTTTTACTTAATTGAGTTTCATCAACAAAAATACGTAACTGTTCCCCTGTAATATTAGAAAATTTCCTGGCAGCTCCATTTGCTCACATTAAAGTGTTATTTCACAGTGTCTGTGACTGCAATCCAATAGTTCCTTATTGTAACTTTATGTTACAATGCTTTTAGCGATTTGCTTTTCATTTGACTTTATTTCAGTGTTCAAAGTGGAGTCTCCAGTAAGAGTTTATTATAACTGCATGTCTTATCCCCAATTTCAGGTTTCTTGCTTTCTTGAACAATAACAGTGTGCGAGTTTGGCATGAGTCAGTCGCTGCTTGCATCACACACGACTCATTTTAAAAACTGCCACTGTTGACAGCAGCTAAATATTGTTCTTGGCCCCATAAACACTGGAAACCACGCAACACAGTATAAACACAAAGCAACACTCATCAAAGTACTTCAAAGAGTCCATACGATACTAACAACAAAATCAATAATTGTGGGGCTATGATTATTACTTTTGATCATTTAAATACATTTTGCAAGCAATTAATGTGCAGTGATATAGTGCTGTTATTACAATGAAAGACTGCAGCAGCACTTACAATACATTACTGACAATGTTGTTATTTTACAGTGTATCTAGTGTAAAGTGTCACAGTATGATACTGTCAGCTGATTGTTGTCACTGTAGTGTTCTTGCTTTGTTTTTTTAAACTGTAACAACATATCAGCTTTGTCATAACTGCTTCACTATGTGCATCCCATAATTATACTACTGCCGCTGTATTCATTTTAACAGCTACGCTGAATGTGAACACAGGCCGGATGTGATTCATCACTACAGTAATCTTGGCTATGTTTGCACAATACCAGTTAAACCCTAACAGAGGGACACTGGAAACCACAACTAAAAAAATAACAATAATAGTACCATCGGTTTTTCTTCTTTTCTCATTATTTTTTATTTAAGCCCAGCTGGAAAAGTTAAAATATTATTCATGAACAGACATAGAACAACTGCACATGTATTCAGTAATAAAAAGTGTGTCAGGTTCCTGGATGACGTCAAAGCCAGCAGACGTGCTGGAGGTGCTCTCAGCTCTTTTTAGCTGTTGGGCATTTACAGCAACTCAGGCATTCCCAACATGAGTCATCTTGGCTTGACAATGCCTCACCCAGAAGTAATCTGTGGGACGCCCACCTGAACCGGCACCACAGCCACCATGCCAGCCAGCTTTTGAGGAGCAATTACTGAGTCAGAGGGAATGGGAAACTTGGGAAAAGTTGTAAATCACGCTCATTAGGGCTCGATTACACATCATGATACTGGCTCAGATATCTTCTTGCTGTCCCCACAGGCTTAAACCTCTTCTTGTTGTTCTTTGGAAATATCTGGTGATTGATCCTGATTTAAAGTTAGCCCTTTGTCTAACTGATAGTATATAACGTGTGTTACGAATGCATGGTGCACATTATGTTGCGCATGACTTTGAGAAAGATGAACATATGGAAATAATTTATAGTTCTTTCTTTCTGACAGTATAACAGAGACTATTTAGAACTATCTGTATTTATTTAACGTCAGCTATTAATATCAAAAAGAGTCTTTGAAACTTGAAAGAAACAGAGAAATTATGCATCCCAGCCAACAGGATAAGAGTGGGAATTTTTACAGACTGCTCACTTCAGTTGAGTGGTGTTTTCACCTCTCTGTCACCACACTAGTGGTGCCAGATGTATCCATAAAACTTAGTGGAATTCCCCTATGGGTCTTTTTACAGCTTATGATGAGGATAATATGACAGTTTCTTCAGTAACATCCCGCATACCACAACCCTACTGAAAATGAGCTGACTCTAGAAGGATACCTCAATACCACAGTGTTTGTGGATGATACCCAAACACTTATTGTCACAATGGGACTGCACGGACTCACGCGCAGGCTCTAAGTTTTGAAAACACAAGAGTCTTTATTACAGCAACACCAGGTGATCTATTTACAAAGGTGAGGGGAAAGCCAGGCTCCGGGGGTCCACACACAAATGGGGAAAGATGCTGAAAGTCCACACACACTCCATCCACGTTTCACGCTCCTCTTCACACTCCACGCACACTCGATCGCTCGGGAAACACAAGGGTTGGTCCAGGGAATCTGGACACAGAGACATGAAGGGATTACAAAGGAAGATCGCTGAGAAACACTCTAGAGTGAACTGAGCTGGGGTTACACTGACGAGGGTCGGCAACGGTCCAGCGACGAGAAACACAGAGCTGCCATCTTAAAAAGGAGCTGGAACACTCTCAGGTGATGAGCCACAGGTGCGTGATTGCGACCAGGTGCGTGGGCCAAGGGCAGGAGCCCACAGGTGAGCTCCGCCCAGGCAGAGGGAGGAGGGAGAGAGCAGGAACAAAAATGAAAATAAAAACATATGTAGCCATACTGAGCCGACCGGGTAGGCACAGGGACCCTGACACTTATTCAGTGAAGCTGAAGTTGTAATTATGAAGCTGAGGTTATAGTTATGTTGTAATATAGAATATAACAGTCCATTCCAAGTACAATGCAGTCAAATAAATGTGGGCACACTGACCTACTTACGTGCTGTTAAATATCAGGATTTAACTCATCTTCCTTGCAAAAGTAATTTAAAGAAAATGGAATTAGATGTACCCAGTTTAACAGTAAGAGGTCTTAGACAGTTAAAATATTGGGCAAAAGACAACATCAAAGAAGACACTGTTCTGGCTCGGTATTTGGACAAGGACATTTTTGGAGTTTCCTCATTAGTGTGTTTATAAATCAAAGAAAAAGTGAGACTTTGTGCCAGGCCTTAACTACATCCTCACTCAGT